CTTTTTGCGCCAACTCAAGATTCTGGAGTTTTTTTCTGATGATAAACAATATATATCTATATATATATATAATATATATAAAAGGCCTCTCTGCTTTAGACCCAGAGGCCAACAGAAAGAGATTAAACCACACTTAACTACAGGATAAAAGCAAAGCATATCACTTTATGGAAACCACGCTTCTTGTTTTCAACTTGGGCGTATGACGGAGTGACAACTGCCAGCATCGGTTTCATGGAGGTGAACACTGGCAGGGGAGATGCGCAAGAAACGCCAGGGGGTGGCATTTGGTGGGTCGGGGCGTTTTCCACGGCGCTAGCTTTCCCCCCTGGTGCTGGCAAGGCCCCCCCTTCAGCTCAATGCCGGTCGGTCGGGGCCACCGGGCGACTCTGGACCCCCGAGAAGTCCTTCCAGTCCCCAAAGAGTCTCGGACGAGTCTTTTCTTAAAATGAGAAAAGAAGGCAGGAACGAGAGGATGGGACGCCCAAGACGATCAAACGCGGCTCTTCGGTCCTTGCCAGAAAAGTCCCACCGAGGCCGTCAGACATATGTGCCGATCGAATGAGAAACAAGGTGTGTGAGTGTGGGGGATGATGACGCCACCGAGAACCTAGGAGGCGCGCCGGGGTCTACTCGGCTGGTTGGCCCACCCAGGGGCTTTTAAGGAGTCGGCATGTCAGCCTTACTGAGGGCGATGGCCAGTTCCAGGTCCTCCTGCTCCTGGCGCCGCAAGCGGGCCAGCCTCGCCTGCTCTGCTTTCTCACTCTCCCGCTTGGCCCACGCCAGCTGACGCTCCTCATTGCCAAGCTAAAAAGAAGAAAAGAAGGAACAAAACGGACATTCGGTTAACTGACTGGGGTGTGTGTGTCAAGGAAAAACACCATCAGGAGGCAGAGACATTCAGCTGTCGCTCCCCCCCCCTTTCCACAACTCCTGGAAACGAAGAAAGCACCGCAAGACCCCCCCGTATCCGCCAATTCACCTATCCACAGCCCGGAAAGGTGGAAAGGCAAGGTGGTTGCCGGGGCTTTGTGGCGAAACGGTGTCATGCCGAAGCCCCTCCTGATCACCTCTCTTGAGAACAGAATAGGAACCATAGATCCTTTCTCTCCCCTGCCCTAAAAAAATAAGCCCTGTGAAAGAGTAATGGCCAAACCCCAAAACATGCATTTGGATGCTGAAACAAAGCCGCACCAGCACTCAGATTTGATTTAATATTGTCAGACCGTGGAGAAGTGAGTTATTGGATACTGATCCCGCAGATAGGGGGGACCTAATTCGTTTCCAGGAGTCACGGAGCGGTGTGTGTGTGTTGTGGTGGGAGAGCACAGCCATTCTCTTGGTCTCCAGTTGGCATTGGGTTACCCCCTGCCACCCAGAAGATCGGACCACCGTCTTGTCGGACATGTTTGGATTTGGGGTTCCTGCCCTGAGCGGGGGAGGGCTGGACTGGATGGCCTTACGGGGTCCCCCATCCACAGGACTCAAGGGGCTAGCAGGAGACATCACCTCTGTGTCGCCCCCCTGGCGACCCAACATGCCTCGCCTGATGGGCTATGGAAGGGGGCTTCACAGGTGCCCGAAACCCACCCTGTTCCGGCCTCGTCGGCTTTGGCGCCAATTTGAAGATCCCCAAAGGGGATGAAATCATTCAGGCGAGTGATTTTTCTGTGTCAGGCAAGCAGCCCTGCTCGCTCTCGAAGGGACCCCCAGAGTCGGCAAGTCGGGCGAGAAATCAGGGCGGGTGGCTTCTGCCCAGATCCGAGGGCCCCTCCACCGCCTCTCCCTTCCCTTCAGCGAGGGATCAGCCCTTCAGGGAGAAGAAAAAGCTGTTCTGTGTGCAAGGCTCCAAGAAAGGAAAGACTCTGAGCTTGGCATGCCTCCCGTTCGGCTCACAGCCCCTGCCTGGGGGGATAAAATGGAGTGCGGGGGATCCCCAGCATTTTCTGGAGAGCACAAAGTGGGGGGGGTGTCTGGGGGGCAGCCCTACAGCCCAAATTCCGGCCCTGGACTGTCCTTTCCTCCAGGTGCCGAGTGCGATGGAGGCCAGGGACCGACAACCACAAGTTCCCGGAACGGGGAACTGGTCCGAGAGGCAAAAATAGGTACGATTCATGTAGGAAAGGGAAACACCATCTTCGCGCACTTAATCCTCATCATGAGGTCCCATTTTCTCTGGGAGTCCTCTGGCGCGGGACCGCTCCACCCCCCATGTCACTGCTCCTGCCCTCTGGGTGGATGGAGGATGGATCCTGCCCCTCTCCTCTGCAGGACTGCCTTTCAAGTCTTTGAAAAGCCCTCTCCGGTCTCCTCTGAGTCTTCTTTAGTCAAGACTAAACCCTGCCCATTTCTTTCCATCTTTCCTCCGAAGGCTTGGGTTTCCAGCCCCCCCCCCCGATCCTCCTCCTTGCCCTCTTCTGAACTGGCTCCAGTTGGCCCTCCTCCTCCTTCAAGCGCGGCGTCCAGAACTGGATCCGGGACCTGAGTGGAGGCCTGACCCTGGCTGGTAGTTGTTCGCACAAAAGAGGGAACCGGGAGGCAGAGAAGCGGAGAAGTTTAAAAAAACCAACCAACAATACTTTCCAGAGGCTGTGACGTTTTCTGGAAAGGATTTCCCGGGGAGGGGGCCCCCGTGCCCCAAAGTGGCAGACAGATCTGGAGACAAAAGGCAGAGCCCCCCCCCTCGCCAGGAAAAAGGGCACCAGCAGGCAAACAAGCCTCTCTCATAAACGCCATTAGAGACAACCTTCTTTTTACAGATAAATAAGGCCATTGCAAGACAGGAATAGGAATATACAGCTAGGACGACCGAGGGAGGGAAGGTAGGGAAGACAGCACGGGGGATGAAAAGACAGGCGCTGGGATGGAGGAGAGGAAGAAGAGGAGGGGGAACCCAAAACAGGTGGGACACCCCCCCCAGGGGCCAGCCACAGCCGCCCGTAAGCCGCGCAGAAGGAGGGGTCCGGGTTCAGAGAGAAGGAGCTTCACTTACAGAGCTGAAGTCCGCAAACCCCAGGGAAGAGTCTTTAGTAGGTTTACTCGGAGAGGAAGGAGCAAAGAGGTCTCTTCCACTAAACAGATCCCCAAACCCTTTCTGAGTCTGAAACGGGTCGCGGTGGCGGTCGGCCCCAAACGGCTGAAATGGATCGGGGGCTGTGGCGAAGTCGGAAGACCCCCCCTGGCCGACGGGAGGGCTCTTACCTGGAAAAGGTGGGAAACGGGGAAGGTTGGGGTGGGGGGAGAATGACAACAGAGGAGAGGAAGAAACAAGAGGAAGAAAGGGGAGCTTAGCAAAAGAGCCAACCCTCCGGCCTGGGTGTGTGTGAAACATCCCCCCCGGACCGACCACCAAACTTGCCCCCCCAGCTTGGCTCTTCCCATCCATCCATCCATCCATCCATCCATCCATCCATCCATCCATCCATCCATCCATCCATCCACCCATCCATCCATCCATCCATCCCTTCCTTATCTATCTATCTATCTATCTATCTATCTATCTATCTATCTATCTATCTATCTATCTATCTATCTATCTATCTATCTATCTATCTATCTATCTATCTATCTATCTATCTATCTATCTA